GCCATTGTAACTTTGAATGGTCATTAAATGAACTGTTATAAGTCAAGGATTACGTGTACAAAAATACAAAAAGCTTCTTTGCTTGCAAAAAGCTGTCCTAAATACCAATCATTAGATTAAAAATACCTGCAAGCCAGAGTTACAAATCAGACAGGGTGCCAGAGCACCTTGAGGAATGAAAATAGTTAAAATGCAGTGATAACTATCAAGCAGCCATCTCTTGCTCATAAAGTGAAACCCTTTAGCAGAGAGGCCATTTAAGCTCTCCAGAAAAAGCACACCCAAGAAAAGCAATCCTTAGATCCATTTGCACCACTTAAAGATACCAGCTGGTCTCACTCACCACACAAGATATCCTAAGGAAATCATCCATATTTAAGGAAAGATCACATGCCCCCCAGAAAGGCAGTAAAAAAAATCAGTGCCAAGCTTGCATCCTGCCTCTTGGAAGTATACCCCAAAAGGACAGTGCCAGATACCACTGAAGCAGTGAAGGGACACCCCCTCCCCAGATAGAAAAAGAAACCATGAGGCAGGAAAAAATTCAAACACAATACAAATAATTAAATCACAACAGTAGCTGTTTCTTGTTGAAGCTGAATAAGGAAAACTATCCCATCAATAAACACAGGATTAAACCTTCACCAAAAACCAGTTTAGACCAAAACTCAGAAAGGGTATGTAAACTCACGTTTGAATGTCAATCTTTCTAGCTAGCCAAGAAGCCTGTTGAATGTCACTCATTTTGGTTCCCTGTCACTAAAGCTTTGCTTCATTATTCAATTATTTCTTCAAAGTGCTGATTGTCCAGGGAAGTATTTCCTTCCAACAGCAGTGTAAAAATCTTAAAACAACCCTTTCCCTTTAAGAAAGCCAAGCCCCCAAAGCTCCGGAGACAGGTAGTCTAGGCATTCTGGCAAGAATGTAATAAGCATGGGGAAAAAACAAAAGGAGACTGCTTCTAACTACAGGTTCTCCGAACTGCTTAGAGAGTTAACAGGGGGTTCTATAAAATGGTACAGAACCAGTAGAATCTCACCCCTGGGAAGAACTTTGTAAGTTAAGAGATAGAGCAAGGTGCAGTTGTTGGTGCTGAAGGCCACAGAGCTTTCCAGTACTGCCTAGTACAGATATAGAAGCTAATGGATTAGGGGAAAGTATTAATCACCAAAGCTCTTACAAAATTAACTGAAAAATCTTTTGGCCATTGCTTTTCCCTCTCCTTCTGAAAATCTGCTTAGATTTACAATAGTAGTAGATGCTCTTAGCTACGATTTTCATTATATATGCATGTTTTATTGAATGCTTCATCCACCGAGGATATTATTGTTGCTGTAAGTGTGCACACACAAAAATACTTGGAGTTTAGTGTTTTTTTTCTGGTTAGTTTTCTGGTAACCATATTGAAGATCATCATACCGAGTTTCAATATTCAGGTTGGCTTCAAGCCTGAGGCAGTTAATAAGGCCATATAGTCTTCCCAAAAAAAAATTATTGAACATTTTTATATTGATGAAAGACAAATATAGAAATTTGTAAAGAGAAAAAAAGAAGAAATGAAGACAATACAGTTAAAGAAAAGTTAATTGAAGATGTATTTTCCTAACATCTCTGACCTTCTGTATAGCAGTTACAAACTCATAATCTCTCTTCCCTCTTTTACATTACAATAATCTCTTTAGGTCCTTATTCAGTCTTTTTTTCAATCATCAAATCCAGAAATCAACATTTCGTTTGTTTTCCATCTTCAGTATAACATCTATAAAAGTTTCTAGTCTTGTATAAAAGTACTTACTGTTTTATAAATTACTTCTTTTATTATAAAATTCACTATTGTATAAAACTCCCTGAGCAGACAGGTCACTTTTGCCATATCTGTTAATTTTGCTGCCTTCAGAAATCCATTCATCCATTGTGGGTATTTGAATATTTCTCTATCTTTGTACACACAAATCGTCCCCGACTTACAACAGCTCATTTAGTGACCACTCAAAGTTACAACAGCAGTGAAGAAAAAGGACTTCTTGTGACTGTTCTTCACACTTATGACCCTTGCAGCATTCCTACGGTCATGTGATGACGCTTGAGGTGCTTGACATATTTATGAGGCGCTTGGCATATTTATGATGGTTGCAGTGTCTGGGTCTGGGGTCTGCAACCTTAAACACTCAAAGAGCTATTTGGGCCTGTTTCCCACAGAAAAGAAAACACCGGGAGCCAATAATTTAACAACCGGTGTGACTGGGTGGGCGTGGCCAGTTCAACATCACTCACTTCCACCCAGTCATCTCCTGCTCTGGAATATGAAGCAAGTCTCCATCCCCTGCCATCACCCTTACCTTCTCAGCCCAGGTGAGGAGTGATGGGGAGGGGTGGGCACAGCCAGTGGTGGGATCAGCCAATGGAGCTGCAGCAGGGGACTGAAAGAGCCGCATGTGGCTCCAGAGCTGCAGGTTGCAGAACCCTGAGTCTGGTTCACATGATTACCTTTGGTGACCTTCTGACCAGCAAAGTCAGTGGGGAAGCCAGATTCACTCAACAACTATGTTACTAACTTAACAAACTGCAGTGATTCACTTAACAACTGTGGCAAGAAAAGTCATAAACTGGGGCAACATTAGTTTAACAAATGTCTCACTTAGGAGCAGAAATTTCAGGCTCAATTGTGGTCGTAAGTAGAAGACTTCCTGTAATAGTGTTGCTACAGTGACCATATATAAAATTGCCCAAAATTTAACTTGAAGCACTGGCTTAACCTTAAATGAACAATGTTCAGACATAATGTTTTGTATTCTTAAGCTAAGTATATGTTAGGAAACTCAAAGAAAACTCTTTCCTTCTTTATTCTTTCTCTCAACTTAATTATCAGTTCTTGTTGGTGTTTACCTTTCTTGTTTAAAAATTTAATAACATTATTATTAAAAATAGGAAACCTATAGAAATATATATTTTTGGTTTGCATTTCTTGAAAGCTCAGGAGATTTGGCCCCAAACTGAGCTAAAATGTTAATTTAAGGATATTTCAGGAAGCCGTGCTGCTTGTTTCTTAGGCCCTTAAGCCCCGTTCCCACATTGTTTAACTAGAAACCTGCAATTTCCTCTAATGAATTTTTGTATTAGAAAGGAATGCATAGAACATGGTTTTTTTCCCTGAAATTTGCTTAAATGATCTTATCTTAGAATCCAAAGCAAAGGGTGATATTGAGTCCGTCCCACAGTAATGGAGATACCGTAAATTCGTCATAAAGAATCTACATTGCACACAAGAGACAAAGAATTTATTGAAAGGGAGCTTCCAGAATTTCGCAAAATCTTTCCCAGTGGCCTGCTTGAGAATCTTACAAATGAAAACAGCAGAACATCCAGTTAAAACTCATCAGGTAGCACCATTGTGGACTAAAGCAACTGAGAAGTATTGTGTCTGAGAAGATACAAATTTTCTGTCTATAACATTGTATTTGTAATATCCCAGCCAGAGGTATGAGATTCAAAAATGTGTAAATAAGTGAGGAGAAATGCAGGGATCCTTGCAACAGCTGTTGAAGAATGATTTCATTTCCCAACTCGTTCACAGCAAGCAATTTCCAAGGACAACAGATAGAGCAGGCAAAAAGTAGTAGAAGGCAAAGAAGTCTTTTTCACTATTATTCATATTCATTCAAATAGCACCTGATTTTCCTTCCTACGCCTCCCCTTTTCTTTAGGAGTGAGGAGAAAATGTTTCACTGGCTGACTGGCGGTTGTACCCTCAATGTTTATGTTAATTTTCAATATGTTGTTTTTCAAACCATTTTACATTGATCAAAACAATAAGAATTAGTGGGATGCAAGCTGATCATAATACATAATCTGTGTTATACACCTTGAAAAAGGAGTGATTTTGCCTTCCAAAACCAATCCATAGTTGCCCTCTCCAGAATCACCTCTCATTTTCTCACCCTCTCATCCATCCCCAAGCTAATGGAGTTTAGCAGGTAACTGTGAATTCTTTGGCCTGCAAATTTTGTAGGACTCCTTAGAATATCTCTCCCAGTCAGCATCCAGAGAGCATCAAAACTATCAGTTTTGCTCTACCTCTTTGATTGAAGAAAACAGCAAATGGACCTCAGAAAGTCAAATGAGGTTGGTGGATTCTAGGGAGAAGGTGAAAGAGATTCATTCTGTGTGATGAGGCAGAAAGCAATGGGATGAAATGTCAAAAGATTTCTCCCCAAAATTGAATCAAGGGGACTAATGCAGTTCTAGGATAAGTCAAGGTACATAAGAATTAACAGATGTATCCTCATGGGTGAACAAATATTTACCATATTCTAAGCAGAATTCTTGTTAACCAACCCAACTCTCTGATGCTTACATTTGGTCTTGTAACAAATTGTTTTAAAATGTAAGAGAGGAAAAAATGGTGTGGGGGGGGGATTAACAATGAAGTTTGACTACACCAATATGCAATATTTATTCTTCTTCTTCAGTCTTGTCTGCCAGAATTCTTACAGGATGCATTTGAAAGTAGTTGTCATTCTTGAAGGTGTGCCCTTTGTATTTAAGGTATAGCTAAGGCAGCTAAAGTGTGAAAAACAGAACTGCGCATAATTGTGTAATGTCTGAAGCTGTTTATTAAATGTGTATGCTCCCAGAAGCACAGCTTATAAAGAATATTACGTATTACAGTTTGCATAACTCTGTTCATTTACTAGGAACCCTCGAGCCAAAACATTATTATATATTTATTAATAGAACTCTTCCATGATTTCCTAATTAAAAACAACAACAATCATCCTAGCTAGCTAGGATATAATAATCAGTCTTGGGTTGTACTAATATATTGTCATCGCTTTTACACACCAGTGTCAAAGATAACTGCAAAATAACAAATTTGGGTTTCCTCAAGATGACTTGAAAATTTCTGGAAGTTCATGCTTAGGACTATTTGCTTTCTTCAACCGTCTGTGGGTAATGACTAGATAAATGTTATATTATCCCTTTTTTCTTTTTCTTTCCAGGCCCTTCATCCAACATGAATCCTAAAGAAAAAAAAATCCTTGCCAAAATCAACTGTCAGCAAAGACAGGGATATCGTTTACAGCATTTGTGAACCCTGCATTCTTTTCCTAATGAAACAGAGACTGTTAGCGAGCCCCAGAACTTGAGGAAAGAACTGACTTATCTGGAACTGAACTCATTTTGAAGTATGCAAATTTTTCTTACTGTAGGGTGATCCACCACCAACTTGAGAATATGTTGGTTCAGCCACCATTCTGTTTCAGAACACTGTGTAGTCTTTACAGTAATGTGCTTGTCAATCAGTATATGGTGTTCCAAAATGGTGATGGGTTGCAGGATGCTTTTAGGTTGGCTTTTGTTCTTCAGGGTTTTCCCCAGCCCACTTTTCTTAAGGGGTGAGAGATGCTCCCCCCACCCTTCTGTGAAATTCTTTACTTGCTCCCTTCTAACGTGCCAATTCCTCATGAAAATTAAATACACAACAATAGGCTTGAAATATCAACAGCACTTGAATTACCAATACAGTTTCCAGCTGTATTAAACTATTGCAGCAACACAAGTGACGAGTATGGTGGCACTTTAAAGGCTTAGCAAATTCGGTATGACATGGATTGGGCTCTAAGATAAGATGGTAAGGGACAGCGAGGAATGGCAAAAAGGGGAGAGAGAAATGCAATGCAAGAAGTACCAATGCCCTCTGCATTTTGTTTCTATCTTCAGGATAGCATTCCAGGTATGCAACCACAGAGGGTGTCATGAAATGTTGCTCTTTAAAATGCCACTGAACTCTTTATGGACTCCTGCAATCATTAGAGTACAACCAACCAACTGAATTCAAGAGTTAGTTTGAAAGACAACTAAACGTTTGTATTTGCTTTGGTGTTTTAATGTGGGGATTGGCTAGCTAACTCATTAGTTCTCAACTAATCCCTACAATTCTCCAACCAAATATTTTCCTAATCTTGTACATGTTTCTTTTTATTTTTGGTACCAAGAGAGGGTGGATTTTACCTCACAAAATTAGCTACCACTAGTGTTACATCCTAACCAAGGTTCAGTTGGTGTGAGGGGAAAAGGGCATTTCGTTGTGGGGAAAATCAGTAACTCTATCTAAATCTAGTCTAAGTTTATGCAAGCAATTTTGCCCAAATGCTGCAGTAAATTTTTGCTTTTTTGTTTGTCCCCATAGCTTAGCAATTGGCCAATCTGAGGTGCATTGTTTACCACTTGCCAAATATAACCACATAGAAGGCAATGGCTTGCTTTCAAATTATTACTCTTATTAATAATAACAACACAAAACCTAAAAGAAAAAAATGAGTATATTGCATGAGAACAGAGTTTTATGTATCTGTAATATCCAAGGCTTGGATGATTTTTTTCATTCATAATCATTTATTCATCTTTTTCTTCCTTATTCTTTTCCTCTTGTGATACATGGTGGAAACTGGAAAAAAGGTGGTTAGGAAGGAGACACAGAGAGGGAAAATCCATACCGAGAGCTTTTCATAGGAGCGTAGATTGTAACTGGATAAATTCCATTGAAAAACAAAGTAGTTTTTATATATTTTGCTTATAGGGATTTCTTTTTGTAAATTTATATAGTAATAATGACTGAAAGTTATGGTGCTGTGCAAGTCCTGTTTAATTACTTTTTATTGGTATTTTTCATGTGAAGGAGGGGCAAAGAAGGCAAGAAAGAAATAGGGGAAAACCTGATGGTACGTTTTAATTTTTTTTTTTTAATTTTATTTTAATGGTGTGAAGACACTTTGGCTTAGGACAACATATACATATTTCTCCAAAGTGATATATGAAGAACTTTTTTTGGCATAAAAGCAGAATGCATATAAATATATAAATATATTTTATTATGTACAGAAACAGATCATTATGCATGATTGTTAAGAGAACAGACTAGCATTTTAACCCAAAGTCTCAGTGCATGAGTTTCCACCAGCACGTGAATCATGTACCTGCGTGGTGTGATTCCTCTCAGCTGCCACCTTTCACTGCGCGTGCACATGCAGGCATTCAAGCACATTCACACACACACACACACACACACATTCATTGGTGGGGCCTATATTGCTCTTCTTTTCCAACTTCTGAGGTAATATTGGTGAAATAACAGCTCCTTGTGTGATGAAAGTTTTGTTTTGTACAGTAGCTGCCTCCTCCTTGTGCTGCGCTATTCTCTAGGAGAACACATAAAGTCCACCATGCAGTTCATAACTTGATGACAATTCTGTGCTGTTGTGGTTCTAAATAGCTCATAGAATATACACTTTCAAACTAGTTAAATGATTTTTATCGTTTTCCAAATAAATACAGACTATTTTTTTAATAATTAAGGTGGTATATTTGTCTATGGCAGGGCATAGTTTATCATGTTTCTTTAATTATATACCACCAATGTGTGTGCTTGTTCTTCACATTGGAAAGGGCTTCCCTGAAAGGAATACCTTATAAAAATGTCATCTGTTCCAGGGGCTTAAGAAAAGTATTGACTTATCTTGAGAGACTCAGTTACAGGTACCTATTACCAAAGCTAGTTAAGAATGTGCTCACATGCCTTTACTAAATATGAGTATCTGGCACGTCATTATATGTGAATTAAGCCAATGATGATATTTTGGGATGTTTGTTGTTATTTTGTTCTTTGAAATGGAAATGTATGTGGTGATGGACAATTTATTTCCAAGTTTCTGTCTTGTCTTCTCAACAGAAACTCTGTGCATAAAAAAAGATCTGGTACTGTACAAAGTTTATGGTTTCCTCTACTTTGACTGGGTTTCCTTTCAATACTTGAAAATGCAACATATCAGGAAGCTGATGCAGAAAAAGGAATAGATTTTTCATTTCTCAGCTCTAATTTTAATCAGGTGACCAGGATGCAATGACACCAAAATGACAGCCTGTGTGCAGTGACATCATCACACAAATGCCATGATTATGTACTTGCATTTCAACATCTGACACAAGTACATAAGATGCAATCTTTCTATGATATTGCCACATCTATTTTGTCATCCCACCCCCACCCCTGGATGATTAATGGACACAAAACAAAGAACTATATTTGTAACTTGGCCATAATTTATGCAGGATTTAAATCCCGTTGATTTCAATCAAATTCAGTACTCACCATAAATACCAGTAAGGCTTTGAGACTGTCCTGAGATTAAAGTCCTATTAAACCCAATATGACATTACAGTAAGCATGCATTAATCAGATCGCACATTTGTAATAGTAAGCAGTTAATGGTGCTGTTGTATTTGCGGATGCTCGCATATAGATTACAATAGGAAAACCTCCATCCTCTTAGTTAGCATCTGTACTTGTTTAAATATTTTTATTTTAATCATACAAAGCAAACTGGGGAGCGGGGAAGAACCCAAGTGAAGTGATAGCGCACGAACATTTATGGAACATGTTCTAGGTTCTGCCCTAAAGCATCCTTGGGAACATGCTACCCATCAATGGCAAATAATATTGACCTATATAAATCCTTGGCTTGATGCGATGTAAGACAGCTGCAACCTGAATTTTTGTAGTTCCTTGAGAGAGGGTTGTTGGGGAACAATCAGGCACATATTAAAAGTGATGATGATGGCAACAAAGAATCCTTTGCGGGGAGAAGGGCAAAATTACAAACCTCTTCAGCCAGGTTAGTGGTACTACAGGCAATTTGGTAACAGTGGCTTCAGCAGGATAAATTCAGATCCTAGGATCCCAGTGGATGACAACAGCAATAAAAGTGCATTCTTTGTGGGGGGAACCCACTAGTTTGAAATTCAGATGCTATTAGAGTCAATATGGGCAAATGTAAGCCTCATTCTATCCAGGTTCACCCACAAGTGTCTCAGGGGTTATAGAAATGTTTCCCAAACCATCGGCCTCCCTCTGAATTAGACTGCGCTTCACAGCATTTGAACTAACAGGCTCATGACTAGGCTGACTGGCAAGTAAAGAGACCAAGCTAGGGAACATAGTATGCTGCACTATTTTCTCAGTCATGTAAAGCAATTGCATGGAAATCCATCGATTTGCTCTGTGTCATTTCTTTTCCTATTGTCTGTCCCTCTGCCTCTCACAATATAAATAACCACATTTGAAGTACTGTCCCCAACTGGGAACCCAATGGCAAACTTTGGCTCTCAAGGATACTTGCTAGCCAATGGAGTGCTGCTTATAGCCTTAAGCTTTCTGTATTCTCTTTTGCCAGTAGGATGGCCACAAAATATACAGTGACAACCCAATTTTCTTCCCTAGTTATAAGTATGCTGTTTCTATTGGCCTAAAGGAGTCAGGTGCTAGACAAAAGCAAGCAACCAATAAATCCTCAGATACTGGTCTAGTTCAGGTATAATACTAAACCAAGGATTCGAGGCTGTGTATGGCCCACAGGTCAAATGGCAATATGTCACATATTAGGAGGCTTTTATTAAGAGGAAGAAAATAATCAGTCACTCAGATCAAAAAGGTTTATGCCGATCTGCATTAAATTATGGCTTAGCATTACAGGAATGGGCTGTCATGAACATTCCTTCCTCCTGACCAGCTTGTGGAATACATCATGGCTTACCATCACATTTTTAAATCCAAGAAGTCTGCATAATTTGGTCCTTGTTTGTTTGCATAAGCATGGTGTGAATAAATCCGTTTTTAAGTTGGGATCAGGTAGAACACCCCCATTTATACATTTACATCTATGTCACTTTTTCCACACCAAATTGAAAATCTCTAATGGATGAAAACATTGTGAACAATGAGCGGAAAGCTGCTTAACTCCCTCACTTTGTGCAGGAAAGAAGAGCAAGGAAGAGATACCTTCCAGATGTATGGGGAACAACAGCTTCCAGAATTCCCCAATCAGCCAATAAACATATTGGTTGGGAGCTCTCATTGGCACTGTGCTGATTTGTACAGTACAAATCAGAATTCCTAACCAATGGGTTTTAAACCCCAAAATTTTAAATTTGGGCATCAAGCCAAATGATGGCATGTTTCTTTCACTGAAAGCCAATTCTGTTGCTTGGGATCCTTTTTACAATGAAGCTCCATCTTTTAAAAGGCAAATGTCAGCCCCTAACCTCATAGTGCAGTAGTCCCAAAGCTCCATGTAAATGATTTTGAGTTTGCGAAGCATGTATCGCCCAAACTGTCCATCAATTAATGCGTAAGGTTCACTTCTGAACATTTTTGAGTACTCTAGTGCTATAAAGCACTTAAGCATGAGATCACACTCTTGAGGAGTTTCTTTTTTATGTACATAAGTCCATTATTCTAAGACTGTTGGTTGATTAGTGGGACTGTCCCTGTAAAATAGAATCAAATAAATAGCTCCCATCACCCTAATTTTTGAATTATGAACCCATTAAAAATTGAAATAAGGGTTGGCACAGAAACACAAGCATTTTTTTTTTAGCTGCTTTCTGAATAGTTCATACCATTCTCTTTTTAGATTGCATCTTTTTTCTAAAGTGTAAGTTAACCTGCTGCCCATTATATCTATCTTAAGAAAAAAAAATGGAATAGGTTGCTTTTGAAAACGACATAACTTCTTGGCAGTCAATTGCCGGTTCATTACATTCTTTGCATGATGTGCATCAGAAATATCAGCTGATAAGGAAGGGGACCAGATTATTGTACATTTTGGCTTCATGTATGAAACTTTTTTAATTAAAAAAAAAGTTGTATGAGTGGACAAAACATGTATACAGTATCTGTAAACTGTCTTGTCTGGATTATTTCTTTCACTGTTGAGCCACATTCTTTTGAAGAATATATTCTATCACTGCCTTAGTACATGGCCATCTTTTACAGGGGTACACAATTTTTACTTTTTGTATGAGCTACTTTCATTTGAAAGTTGGCACTGTCATAAATTTAGAGGAGGCTTTTCTCAAACCAAATGCTGACATGGGTGAATATACTACCTTACTACATAACAATTGGATGTCAGTTTGATTTGGAAATCTTTCCCTTTTGCAAATGAACTAGTGGTGCAGAGCTTAACTCCACTTGATGTTAGTAGATATTGCCTTGTGTACTCCATTCTCAACAGTAATCTAGTTTGTAAAATAAAGTGTGATGCATGTAAATAAAGCATAATGGATCTCTATGCTGAAAGTATAGACTCATTTGTCTTTTATTTAGTTTGTGTTTGTGGAAATCAGATCTCTTCAGAGAGAGAGAGAAAGAAAGAAAATAATTCCTGGGTAGAATGCATCACTTGTTGTTATATTTAATATCATTCTCATGGTTAATATGTCTAGTGAAAAACAAACACATTGACTGATACTGTAATTCTGTGGAAGGAACTAACCTTTTCACTACTTACAATTTTACACTTCCTGCATGTTGAAAGCAGAAAGAGGACCTACTGTTTTCCATTTATATGCTTATTTTTTATTTTTAGCTGAAGTCATTAAGATTTGGATTCCAATCCCACATTGGTTTGCTGAAGTACCATGATAATCTATATAACTCTCCCATTTCATAGACTCATTCCCCTTGAATAAGGTAAGAATGGCAAAACTCCTTAGAAGACTTGGATGAATGAAATTAGGAAAAATGCACCGAATGTCATCTGATGGAATTGGGGCATTGAATATAGTCCTGAAGATGTTTACTTTCGATGGTTAACACAAAAAGTATCAAAATGGTATAGCTTCTTTTCCAGGAGATAGCAAGTTGACCTTTGCTATATTTCTATAGTACAAAATGTTTAGTTCAAATATTGAAATAATGTAAGTGAAACATTTAGCCTTACCACATCAGGACTTTACACATGCATCAGCTTTTCACAGGCTTCAAATGGCTTTGATAGTCTCCTTCCACCAAGTTGTGTCCTCATGGCCTTGAGGTATGTTTGACATTGACCTAGCTCCATACCCAGGTGGCTCAAAACACATAGATGGGTTTTTTTTTTAGCATCTTCTCTCAAGATGCTTTGGATGAGACCTCAGGGATGTGAGGTTGTGTAATGAAAGGCAAATGTGCTGAAGGAGTTGTAAAAGAAATGATTAAATTAGGTCTAATGAAAAGTTGAAAAAAGTCACTGAGCTCAAATACCCTAAGTTGCTAGGCAAATATTTGAATAATGTGCCATAAATATTTAAGAACATGATATGGGAGACCCTATCCAAATCTTGCTTCATCTGGGTTGTACTTCTGAGTTGTACTTTTCTACAATTTTCAGCTTTATTGATCTAGTTATATTATTATTATTATTATAGGCTTGTTAGTCATATCTGTAAATAAAAGTATAAAGTGTTCTGAAAATGCTAAAGCAACATGAAAACACACTGTGTGTTCTATCTTCCATATATTCTCAAATAGGCAGTGGGCCTTCTTGTCTTCTCTCTCTGTTGCCCCAACCAAGGAGAGAGTGGAAAAATAGGCTAACCTGAACCTTCTGTAAATTTTTACTTATAGATTGGTAGCTACCAGCACTTGTGTATTAATAGTGGAGGGAAGGTTGTGATGAAAACTCTGCTGGTGGTAGTGTATTCTATCACAAGGGTCACCCAAACCAGACAGGTCTTAGCCAGATTAAGTGTATCCATCAACCCATTTAATATGATGAGAAAACAAAAAAAGAATCCTATACAGGATTGGTGGTTACCAGGTGAACAAGGATCAACATCAGATGTTAAGAGTTCCTGAGCATCTTCAGTAAATGGGCAGTGGGATCCAGGAGCTGCTGTGCAACTAGGGACTAGTTTTATAAGATTATTGGAAGAACAATCACAGACAAGACAAAAGTATGCTATGTTTGAAAATTGTGCCATTATGGTCTTATCAATAGGGTCCAACAAAGCATGGATGCTTGAAGGGAATGTTTGAACATTGGAAAAAATTTATCCAGGCTCAAAAATTCATTATCAAAAATAAAATATTCAGGGATACAGAGCTGGAAGGCATTCAGAAAAATAGTGAAAAATTGTGAAAATAGAAGACCTTGAAACAATAGTAGAAAAAAAACCAGATAATAATTGCAAATATAAAGGAAAAAGCTGATATGAACTACAGAAATTATAATTTAGAAGTAATAACAGAGCCAGTACATGCCAGCACTGAAACAACCAGTGAACTGAGCCCTTGACAAGAAGAATTAAAAGAGAAAATTATGACACATCTAGGATTGCCAGTAGAAAGAGAACCGCCAATACTGAAAGTAAGGCCCCAAAAAGCAAAAGTGTCATCTTCTAGGGTGACTCATTTACCTACTTTACTATTTGTCATTGCCGTGATCCCACTTTTAACAATTTTGAAGAAAACCATTTTTGGCTTCCAAAACAGGAAAAAACGTGAACAAAATCTCACATTTGCTTTATACAGATGATCTGAAGCTTTATAGAAAATCAGAAATCAAGATCCAGTTACTGACAAATACCTAAGAATTTTTAGCAAAGATATAACAATGAAATTTGGTCTGGAGAAATACGCTACAGTAGCAATAAGCAGGATAAAATCAAACCACCAGGAGCCACCAAGTTGAAGCCTACAAGTATCTGAGCATTTTACAGATGGATAACATGAAGCATGGACAATTAAACACGTGATTAAAATACTCCTATTTAAATAGATCATTAATATAAGCACTTACAACAGTCACACATTGCGTGGTAATGTAGTTGGCTCAGTTTAGCTCAATGAATTGTTTGAACCTAATTGTGATCTGTAAATCATAACTGATGATTTAGGATTTTTATGCAGAAATCACCTGATTGTGGCTTATTCAACATATGATTGAACAAGAAATGTCAGAATCCAGTCAGTGTAACATCAGAGCCATAGACTGTCATAGGAATATATATATTGCCACAGTATGACATCCTTGGCCAGCTGATAGGATCCAAATATGATTCTGCTTCGTTGAAGGCATACGCTTGTGTGGCTTGTTCCAGTGGCAAAAACTGATGCTTAATTCAAGCTGACCCTGTCCACACTAGCAATCAATTTGCATAAGGAATACTACAGACCGTAACAAAAGTTATGCTTCTCTACCAAGGAAAATCCTCACATGACATCTAAGGTAATATTATGTGACACAAATTCTCCATTGCAGATGAAATAACTGCTGTCAGCTACAATGTGGATTCAGCCAAGTTAGGACTTGACATTGCAAATACTGCTCATTAAACATACCCTGGAAAGTTGTACAAAAAGGGGTGAGGTCTTGTCTGCTATGATGGTACACCCAATAACATACCATCTTTGGTAGTAAAAAAAATAACTTCCATTTCTTCCCATGTTTGTTTGCCTATTATTGCATTTCTGAATCATATAATAAGCAGAATTCTTCCTCTTGATCTACTAATAAAATTGTATTGGACCTAATTTGCCACTTAATAAATGTAGTATTTGAGGTAGCATCAACCACAATAATAAAGTTTCACTTCAATTTATAGACATAAAATATTTTTAATTTGTTTTATTGTTTTCATATGAGAGGGAGGGAAGAAGGAAGGAAGGAAGGAAAAAGACAAAACTGAGAACAAATTACAAAAAGGAAATCATTTGGGCAATTTTTAACATTAAAGCTTGAATACACAAAATAATAATTCTCCATCAATGACATCAGTAGAAAGCCCATTAATAAACCAAGAGCAAACATTCAAATCAATAAATTTTGGGCTGTGGTATCTTTCCAATGCAGAAAAAAAAATCTTTCATTCTGCCCCTCCTACTTGATAAATCATTCTACATATTGTGAAAAATTACCAATTCTGGTTGTCTAATTCAAAAATACATTTACAATTTTTAACAGTGCTGATCTCTGAAACATTGTATCAAGAAATGTGTGATAATTACAATGAGCAAACAGTGGGATCAGCCCATATGAAATTTGTATTCTCTTCCAGCAGAATAAAGTTGACAGTCACTCCTTTCAAACATTTCGTGAGATGTCTAGACCAGCGGTCGCCAACCATCTGGACCTCATGGACCACCAATCTCATAATTTTAAATCCCAGGGACCACTAGCCAGCTCTGTGGGTTTGGCCTAATTTGTGGGAGTGGCTTGGTGATCATGTGACTGGCTGGGCATGGCTTGTATGTAAATATTATAAATATTTATGTAAATATTGATTTTTTTTAATAAAAAAGCAACTTTTACCCCAAATCAGGCAAAGCAGGCAGGCAGATTGAGTTGCTCACAGAATCACAGATTCATTCAAAAATCTATCTGCCATTGGCTACCTGAGTCTGTCACATAAAATTTGCTTGCCGTGAGTCTGCACTGAATAATAGAACCTTCAGTTCTAAGGGAGGTTTGGCTGTGCTTAAAAGCAGAGCCAAAGATCTAAAGACTAGCTAGAAAGCAAGAAATCCAACCATTTCCTTCCTCCTAGCTAATCTAAATCTCCCGCACAGCAGAACAGCCGATGGTAGGAAAAATAGCAATTTAGCAGGCAAGTTTGCCAGGTAAGAAGTGAGTGGACAGGGAGGGTTCCCGCGGGCCATGTGGGCAGCACAGCCTTGTGTTTCTGCACAGCCTGGATTAATTGCTTTGGGGGGATGCTCTGGGGGGTGAGATTTCTCTGCGTCCCACCAAAATTTTCTTGTGGCCCACCAGTGGGCCACAGCCCACCAGTTGGGGACTGCTGGTCTAGAAAACATGAGAAATCATCTTTTATTGAGTCAACCCATCGAAAAATTATAAGGCACAAGCTACAATAAGAAAATTTTAAATTTTTTCACTATTGATTTGTTAATATGGGAAAGCATCATTCTTTATTCCAACATTCTTGCAAATAAATATTCACCTTAGCAATACTCTTATTGTTTATTTTGAAATGTTTAGAATAATTCAAAATGCATTTTAATGTTGATAGTAATTCAGGAGTTCTAAAGATTGTTGCTGCGTTTGATCAAATTGTGAAAGGAAGAAATATTTTAATTAAATATCCTGTCATTTTGTAATTTTATGCAATCCAAGTTCCTCTTGCAATAACTCAGAAGATATAAAAAAGTTGATTTGGGAATAAGCTGACTAAAATATCAATATTTTATATTAATATTAATATTAATTTAAATATTTAAAATTAATTTAAATATTAATAAAATATAAATAACCCTCGACTTGATTTTTCTACTTTATAAAAAGACCACC